AGCCATTTCTTGTCCTTGGGAAGTGTTCCCGCAGAGATATGCTCACTAAATTCAATACTCAGACATGAATATCATAATTATCCATTGCCTATGGTATATTTATACCCCCCCAGAACACCCCCATAAAGGAGAAAGACTCCTCTAGTCCTCCATCGTTTTACATATAGTCTAGATACATGAATTAGAACACAGCAAAAACCAACAATTCTTGGACGACTGAAAAGATGCTTCAAAGAATCATTATTACTCTGTTGGTGAAATACAGGAGTTTTAGTTAAAAAATTTTTTGTGTGACAAAATACTGGATGAACTAAAAACTTAATTTGAATAAAATTTGAACAATTTCTATTTTATGACTGGATACCAAAATTCATGTACACACAACTTACAAATCATTTAAATGTTATTATTGTGAATCAAGGTAAATTTTCTTCATATTTAAATAAATAGCATGTAAATTTGCAAGCTCGTCAAACTATCATAAGTATAACTGAGTCACAAATTCAAAATAAGAGCAAGTACTTTATAACAAATGGCGTAATTTACATAGGCACACATTTTAGTTAGATTTAGAGATATAAAAATATTTGTATCAAATACATAAAAGCATTGGTCTCCAAAAGAATTTTCTCAATAATTATGTGAAATAACATACTTAACAATGGCAATAGAATTTTGCATAAATTTGCATGAACGTTACATAGTCAAAAAACCTCAAAAAAACATTTTGAGTAATATTTTTACTTGAGGGCTTAATGGATTGCAAGTTTGTTTATTTGTTTTTTAATGCTTCTTCATGTTCCATAATCTTCACAAATTTCCTAAAGCCAAAATGACTACATTATTCAAATAAAAAGTCAAAGCATATGGTCTGATACTAAGATAAACTTTTAGAAATTGGAGCTATCTTGGAGAATCCAGGACTTAATGGTCAGCAAACTTATCTCAGAGATTTAGGTGTAAATTAAGTTAAATAAACAAATAGAACCAGTTAAAAGATAAAGGATTTCCCTTGTGTTCTGATAGATTGTTATCAAAACCAAACTGTGTGTAGTTACACATACAAGTACTCACACACACACACATATTTAGCCAAAGGGTAGGAAGAAATAGTTTACAGTTATAGTTTGGAGACATTTAATATAAATGTTTCTAAAGAAAATTGTACAATAACATTCTCCATATAGGTTAAATACTTAGAAAATTCTAATTATCCAAAATGTAGGTTGCAGTCGAGAGTCAGTTCCAAATCGTCTTGCAACAAATAGAAATGTCGCAGAACCCATGCATGAACTTTATGCATCAGAAAAAATCCCTCAGGACCTCACTCAGAGAGCACACTCTGGCCACAGATACAAGGCTAGGGAGCTTGGATCAATGGTATTCTCATCCCAGTAGACTGAGAGCAGTAAGTAATGCTTGGAGCTGGGTGTAAAAAGCAGACACAATGATCCTATCAGGATACAGAGCTTAGAGGTTTAACAGAAGTGAGGAGACTGAAAAGCAAACCAAAAGCAGACACAGAAATTCAGAAACCATCTCTAGATTGGGGCCCAACTGTCTTGGACACAGCAAGAGATCCCAAGGGCATGCGTTTTGACATCTTCAAGAAGAAGATTGAACTATGTTCAGAAGTCTCTTATCTTTTTGAGTAAGAAGATATATCCGGTTCATTTCAGAAAGTTTCACTCGTTTCCCTCGATTTGGTTACTTTCATATAGAAAATTCTTGTATGCAGAAAAAATCATATATCCGTGGTCTCAAGTTATTTTATTAATTCAAACCAAATAGGTACTAAGTGTCTATCCCATTGCAACCACTGTTCTTGGCATTGTGAATACAGAACAAACAGCATAGATCAAAATCTATCCCTGAAGAGTTTACAATCATGTGGGATAAATGAGTGAGGAGTCATGGTAGTTCATTCCCAAATCAAGTGTTCCCCAAACACATCAATTTTCTATATTCCATGTTGGTGGGAATGTACATTCGTACCGCTATTATATAAAACAGTATGGAGGTTCCTCAAAAAATTTAAAAAATACAACTAGCATACGACACAGCAATTCCACTTCTGGGTATATATCCAAAGGAAATGAAATCACTATCTCAAAGAGCTATCTGCACTCCCATGTTCATTGCAGCATTATTCACAATAGCCAAGACATGGAAACAATCTCAGTGTCTATCATCAGATGAATGGCTAAAGTGTGGTGTGTATGTGTGTGTGGCGGGGGGGAGGGTGAGTGTGTATACACAAAATGGAATACATGTATATATATACACACACACACATATATATATACATATATACATATACAATGGAATATTATTCAGCTATAAAAAAGGAAATCATGTCATTTGGGACAACTTGGATGGACTATGAGGGCACTATGCTAAGTGAAATAAGTCAGACAGATAAAGATAAATACTGCATGATCTCCTTAAATGTGGAATCTAAAAATATTGAAATCATAAAAACAGAGAGTAAAATGGTAGTTGCCAGGGGATGGGGGATGCGGGAAATGGGGAGATGTTAATCAAAGTGTACAAACTTCTATATCTGTTATAAGATGAATAAGATCCTGGGATCTAATATACAGCATTGTGATTATAGTTAATAGCATTGTATTATGTACTTGAAAGTTGCTAAGAGAGTAGATCTTAGATGTTCTCACCAAACATCAAAAAAAATGATAATTATGTGAGACAATGGAGGTGTTGACTAACCATATTATGGCAATCATTTTGCAATATATATGTGTATCAAATCATCACATTGTGTATCTTAAACTTACACTATGTTATGTGTCAATTTTATCTCAATAAACCTGGAAAAATATTTTCTGTTCCAAAAGGAGGCTCAGACTAAACCTTGATATCTCAAAGTAAAGATTAATTTCTGAATGATACTGTCCTGATTTTTGTCTGTAAAAGGCTTCCCCATCTATACAAAATGAAAAAAAAAGTAATAACAGGTCATGTTATACTTCTTTATAGCACATTTTTAAGACAATGAGAACAATCTTTTTTTCCTTTTTTCTCTTTAATTCAATATAAGCAAGCTACCTTTTATATTTAATAATTGTGATATTTCAACATTAATTTATTATTTTGGAAATTTCTTATTTAATAAAACACCTATATCATTCTAAATAATACATTTACCTATCAAAATACTTAAAATCAAAGTTTTCAATGTCAACTCATTCTTAGAAATATATATGCCCATATATTAAACTCACAAATTAATATTAGCCAATACTTTATATATTTATCACACTGTCAAAACCTTCTATATTTGTCAATCTGAAGTATAAATTTCACCTGATTTTACTTTCACTAAACATTTTCTGGTTTAATGCATTCATTAGCAGTGAATTAGACAAAAAAGAAAAGACAGTCAATTGAATAGATTTTACTCTGCTAAGAAGATAGGATAACCTGGGAAAAAATACAAATTGATTCTACATATCTATTTCATGCCAGATCTACATCGCGTATCACTGAAGTTTTTCTCACTTAGCCAGGGAACTGTTTTTTATTTTTCTTTCTTTCTCAATAGTTATCATTGGTTAAACAATACAAATTTTTCTTCTGATTCGCTTTATGAATGCCTGCTAAATACCTGCCTTCCCCAACTACCAGTCCTCGAGCCTTCATCACTCTGTGACTTACTAAAAATGAAGGGAGTCTGAGTTGGGAACATGAACTTCATTGACTAAGAGCAATAAAAATTCGTTTCAACTAAGCCACCTGGAATTTCTACAAAGAGCAATTTTGCAGGTATATTCCTTATTTCCCACTATAGCCTTACAAATAAATACACAAAATCTCTGAATTATGTCAATAAATCACCAATCTATAGAAATTCTGTTGAAATACGCATAATCCTTTCCCAGAACTATTATGGACATCTGGATATTTACTTTAGAAACATTCACCAACTCTCTAATGAATTTATTATACTTTAGAAAATACTCTTAAAACACATTTTGTTGCTATATGTAATTTAATAAATGCTTTAAAAATAAGGTATTTTGTGCTCCATTGCTTAAGAAATAACAAATACATTTGTGAAAAGTAGAAGCAAAGAATATTTATATTTTTGCAAAGAATGTAGCAAAGTGCTATATAAGATTATGAAAGTCACCATTACTTGAACTTATGATTTTCTAATGGTCCATCAGACAATTTCTCAGGTAGTTGGGTTAAGGATAGAAATATTTTCCCTTAAACACAACAAATCGCTGTAATCCTCTATACTCTGGCTCCTTTTAGAAAAGTAAAACGTATCCTACTCTAAATTTAGAAAATAGATTTAAGTTTAGATGTAGAACAAATCTCCTCCCTTTTGCAGACCTTTCCCCTTATGTTTAGATGTTACTGTTTTTTTGCCCTTTTCAGAAACAGAACTAAAGGGCAAGAAATACATTTGTTTCTACAGATTTTTTCATTTTGCTCAACTTTTAATTAGCAAAATTAATCAGTGATGTCTTACCTTTCAATTAATTTCAGAAATTAATTACTGACTTTCTGAAATGTCTAGGAAAGTTATTAGTTTAAGAAATATTTTCCCTGCAAAATTTTCTTTTCGTAGTGAACTACTCTTTCAATTGGTGATACTTTCATGATTTGTGAAAACTGCAATTATCAGTGTGGGTCTTTAGTCTAAACGTGGATTTAAGTTCAAGATAGAGTCATCAAAGGAAACTGGGATGAAAATCAGTAGCAAACAATAACACTATATGCATCTTGAGTAATCTGCTCACTAATATTTCTAAGTATAGATCTATATGTATGTATATCCTTAAGACAAGATTGTTAAAGCTGAAATAATACCAACTAGCATGAAAACCCAGTTTTCTTACTTATCTTACTCTGAGGTGTAGGAAAGATTTCCCAGGGAGAAAAATATTTGAAGTAGAGAACACTAAACATTTAAGCAAATATATACATGTATATCAAATACGAAAGGATTATTTACATTAGTCCCTTACCTTTGCAGAAGACACAAAGTGCCACAACCCAATACAAAAACATCAACTTCATGGTGGTGATTTGTGACCTAGAAACAGAGACCAGTCATCTTGGAGAATCAGACCTACAAGGGACCCTCTAACTGGAGTTTTTATATCCACTCATACTGCTGTCTCTCATCATGGGCAAGGTGTGGTAAACTTAGTGATGACAGAGCAAAGATAAATATCATAGCATGCCGAAGATGAAATCCCTTTCAAGTCAGTTTAGTGTCTTATTTCTGTGACATCTTCTATCTCGGACCAAGTCCAGCTCACGCCAAACCCAGATAATGCCACCTTGCCACCCTGTGCAAACAGAAAAGGCAGGAACCAAAAGCCCCGGGATTAAAAACCAAATGTGCTGATGATATGCATTTATCTGTACCCTAGGAATCATTGCAAAAGTCTTAATACCTCAAGAAACTCAAATACTGTGATTAAATATTGTAATTGTCTCTTCCTTAAGAATAGAATGTATTTCAAACATTAACCTACTTTGAAACAAAGAACTCTTTACTTATCAATATATTAATAGGCATTTCCTTAGAGAAATATACAACTATCTCATAGGTATAGGTATAGACAACCTAAAACATAGAGATTCACCATGGTTACAGCAATAGCATTATTACTCACAAGGGTTCATAATACTTCAATGATACAAAATTTTACCATGAACTTTATAATCAGACATATGAATAAGCAGAAGACATATGAAAATTAGAACATCAGAAAAAGAACATTTTAGGACAAAAAATAAAATTAAATGGAAAATACCATCCATGAATTATATATGCAGATATGCTGGGGTGGAGGGAGGAAGTTCAAGTTAGGATCTCAAAAGAGAAGTCCTAGTCTGTGCTGAGCAGGGGTGAAAGGATCCACAATTAGAGGAATCCCCGATAGTCAAGCAGACCTGAAAAATTCAAGGACCAGCTCCAGAGCTTGGATGATGCTACCTGCTTCTCATCTGTGCCCAGTCACTACTAAAAAGACTTCAGTAGCCAAAGGGAAAGTGGTCCTCAGTTTATTCTCTCCAGAAAAGTAGAAGAATCCCAGGAAAGGGAAAAATGATGTGGACAAACATACCTTTCCTTTTCCTTTATCCACTCATTTCTTGACTAATCCTCAAGGAAGTAAACAATCCCTGCCTTTTCAGAGCGCCTCACCAATACGCATTGAATGCTTCTATTCACATGCTCCCTGCCTCCCCAAACCTCCTTAGTCTACTTGCTGATTCCTTAAATCATTTTGAAAGGGGACAGAATTCAACAGGTGTAAATATTTAAAATGCATTTTCCTATTTAAGGAAACACATTTGCTGAAGGCCATGCATTTTTCAATAATCCAACATCAGTGCAAGTATCCAAGTTTTCCCTGTGGGGCAGGGATTCCAAGAGCTGGCAAACAGTGGACACAGGAGTGCCGGAGGAGAGGACCCGCTCCGAGAACAGAGAAGGAGGTAACAAACCAAAGTTGTAGAGGCTAAAGACTGACTTCACTGACCTCATAATTTTTCCAAAACCTTGCTCTGATTGGTTCATAAATTCACAAATGAAGACTACACATTGAAGATTTTCCTCCAACACACACACACAAAGTATAGTTAAGAGAGAACATTGCCCTTGGAGATATATGACACATCAATACTATCATTTAGAAGTTCTTTTCTTTTTCATGTGTCTTCATTGTGAAGGAGATTTGGTCTTGGAGAGTCCATTTTTCAGATTATCATTATGGCGTGATTATCCTGCTATGTGTCAACAGTGAGCTTAGATATGTAGGAGACCAGAATGAAATATAAACTTACTTAAACACTTTTGGGGGAACTAAGAATACACGTGAGATAGAAAATTTCCATGAGCAGGGTTCAGGTGAAATGCTATGGAAGCTCCAGGGAAGGAGGGATTTAGCTTGGGAGAATCAGAGAAAACTTCATGGAGAGAGTGGTGTAAGGGCTGGACCAAGAAACGTAGCTAGAACTTGGACATGCAGAACCAGGGAAGGATTCCAGGGGGAAAATGCATTATGAATAAAGTCAAATGCAATTCCAGTCATTCTAATGTCTTAACACCAACTTTTCTATTTCCAGTTCACTTATTCTACTAATGAGATTCCAACAATCTACTGGCTCTCACTGGAACCTACAATCCATTGATCCTACTTCAATTCATTCACTCTCACTCCCCTCAACAATTCAATAAGCTTCTTACTTAGATTAAATTTATGTTTAAGCATTATCATTATTCCCTTGTATGAACCCCCAATTCCCTTGAACCTCTCTATACTGGCTTGGCAAAACCCCAACCATGGCTTAAATTAAACTCTTTTCATTTTCCCTACCTAAACCATGCAGGTGAACACGCCAGGGTAAAAATACATGGTCATGCTAACTTGCCTATCTTAAATTCATTACTCTGAGTTGGCCCTTAGGATGGTCAGGCAATTATACTTCCTAGTCCATTTGCTTTCACACTCTTCTACTTCATATTTTCTCTCTTCTCAAATATCCAACACCTCCTTCTCATTCTTCCTCTTAGTTAATCAGCTTACTTCCAATTTTGCCATGAAAATAAAAGCTATCAAAAGAGAAACTCTACAAGCTCCCATCCCCACATATACCCATCTACTGGTATTTGTACCCTGTAGTCTGCCTAGTTTCTTATTAATAAAGATAATCTCTCTTAGCCACCATCTAAGGTTGACTCTCCCATTTGTGTATTGGGTTCTATCCAAGAAGAGTATGCCAGTGATTTGTTCATTTCTATCCATATCATCAAGGCTTCCCTCCTTTTTTGGATTATTTCCAAGAGTATAAACACATGCTATTATTTGTCCTTACTAAAAAAAAATGAAAGAATATAACAAAACAACTTTATAATATCTAAATTATACCTCAATAAATCTGTTATTTTAAAAAAAAAAACAAAAAAAAACCACTGAGCTCACTTCCCTTCCAGCTCTCTTCCCATTTCTCTGCTCCCTTTAATGGTTAAATTTCAAAAAATGTTGCTTGTGCTCATTGACTCCAGTTCCTGACTTCTGTTTCCTCCCATCAAGTTTTCACTCCGTCCAGTTTTCACTCCATCACTGCAAAAATAAATATGCTCTTGTCAAGGACACTGGTGATCTTCTTTTGTGAATCCAATGCTTAATTTTCAGTCCTCATTTTATTGATCTCTCAACAACATTTAATACACAGTTGATCAATTCTTCCTTCTTAGTACACTTTAACTGTGCTATTCCCAGTTTTTCCTATTTCATTCCCTGCTCCTTCAGGCTTGTATTCAACATCTTCACTTGAATGTCTAACAGGCAGCTCAGACTTAATGTGTCCAAATGAAACTCCAGATCCATTGCTTCCACAACTGTGCTTCCCCCAGTGTCTTTTCCACCTCAGTTAATGCCAAATCTGTCTGGATTACCCCACCCCAAAATTTGTAGCCATCCTTGACTCATCTTTTTCTCTCACCAAGCTCTCTCCACACACCCATTCCATCCAAAAATTCTGTTGGTTCTCACTTTAAAATAACTCTAGAGTGAAACCTCTTCTCATCACCTCCTCTACCACCACCCTCGTTCCTTCACTCAGGCCACCATCACCTCTCACCTAGATTACCCAAGTGGACTTCCAGTTAGTCTCCCTGCTTATGACACTTATCCACTGCAGTCTGATATCAGAACATCAGTCAGAGTGGTCCTGTGCAAATCGACTCCTATCATGCATTCTTCTACTCAAAACCCTGCATGACACCCCATTTCATGCAAAATAAAATCAATATCTTGAACATGGCCCACAGTGCTCTATTCCATCAGCCCCTACTCTGATCTCGCCTCCTACCTGCCTGTTCTTACTGTCCCTGCTCCAGCCTCGGAGGTCTCCCTGCTGCCACTGGGGCTCACGAGGCACATTCTCGCCTCAGAGACTTCACATTTGCTGTTTCCTCTCCCTGGAATACTCTCTCCTCAGATATCCACAGAATGTGCTCCCTCACCTCATTAAAAGCTTGAATTTCAATGACATATTTTGCAAATAACTATTATCTACTTCTACATGCTATAATTATTTTTCCTCCAAAATAGCTTTTTTTTAGGATTGTAATTAAACCTTAGCCTTAATGAGTTAAAACCTCTCCATATGTAAGAGATTTAAAATATGGATAATTTGCATATGTTTTAAACGGATGTCCAAAAACATGGTTAAATAACATAATTCTTTGGCACAATTAATATTTCACACTATTAAAATTAATATTAATTAAAATTAATGTTTTAATGTCAAAATAAACTAAAAGGCCTTTTAAATTTCCTCTAAGTCATTTTATGCTTTCATACAATTGCTAATTCTTCCCCCAGATATCCCTCTCTCACCTTACTTACATCTCTGTTCAATATTGCCTTCACATGCACACCTTCTCTGAATACTTTACTTTAGATTACAAATCTCACCCCACAGCACTCCTTTCCCCTATTCTCTTTTCTGCTTTTATTTTTCTCCATAGCTTTTACCATCATCTAATGTATACATTTTTGTTTAATCTGTTTAATACATTTAATTATTGCCTACCTTTAGTGCTAGAATTAGCTTCAATTAGGGCAGGGATCTTTATGTGTTTTGTTCACTGCTGAGTCTCAGTGCATAGAAAAGAGCTGTCACATGATAGGTGCTCAATAAATATTGAATGAATGATTTAATGAATAATTTTGTAGGGCTCAAAAATAAAGAAGATTACATTAAACAATAATGACAATAATAATCATAACTAAGTTTAGTACTGAAGTTATTTATATTAAGATATTTAATTCAATATACCATAGCATGCATTGAATTAGACACACTCTACTAAAACTGGGAAAATATTTGGTTAAGAAAAGGTTTCCACCATTTGAAACTTCTAGTTCAGATTTATCCTCAATTATCACAAGGGGCAAACGCTGTACTAGCAATGCTAGCAGTTTTGTTTTATTTCCATCAGCTCAGAGTTGCCTAGCAGTGAAAAATGGTCACAAAGTTTTAATGACTTTTCCTAGAACATTTTTACTGTAATGTTAATAACTATAGATGAAATTCCGTTTATAGTTGAGCTAAAAGTCAAGATGACAATAAAATGCCAGTATACTATATTTATATTTGTGGCCTTTCTGTGAGTTTTTAAAATTTTCATGAAGGACCAGATAATTCAATGATAATATATAAAAGCTACAAACCACATTTGTTTGATTCTACTGCCTCTATCCTCCTCAAACCACTGCTTTTAGGACTTCCCTGAAGGTTATTCTTTTTTACCTTCTAAGATTTCAAAATATCCATGATTCATATTATTATAAGTTTTTATAATAATATAATATGTTATAAATATTATAAGAAAAAGTATTTTAAAAGGAATTAAAACTATCAACTTAGCAAATGTTAAAAGGGTTCGTAAAAAGAAAATAATTATTCTAGGAAGCAGACTCATTTCGTTCCGGAACTTCTCGTTCGGTGGATTGTTTTTACGAGGCAATTAGGCACTTTAACTCTTTTGTAATATTATACCAATTGGATAAAACCATCTAATAATACTAAAACACATACTGTATAGCTACTGTACATAGCTTAAAAGCAAATCCGTCAAAAAGAACAATAGTCAAATGTTCCTTCTTGATTTAAAAGGATGTGGTTTAAGTGTCTGTACACTTCACGATACACCGTCAGAGGAAATGTCAACAGTTGAAAGAACAATAGCATCAGTATGAATAAGATAGTCTGTTTTTTTAATAATGTTTGTACCAGAAGGAAATACTGAAAATGTTAAACAGTATTTATTTGGATTGCAGAACAAGAAGTTTCCGACTTTCATCCATATTATGATCTGAAATTATATTGTAAAGGTGAGTGCTGAAAATTAAAACATTTTTGTTACATGGGAAATTTCATACCAGGAGAAATTTAAATACAATTAAATTTTTGAGTAAATATTACTTAAATTGATATAATTATTTAAACATAAATAATATTTAACATTAGCTATAGACAAATAATTTTCTGTGGTAAATTACCACCTCCAATTTAACTTCTCAAAATTTTTTTGGCATAGTATTTGGTAGGCAGAAGAAACTGGTAATGTTAAAACGGACTTTCAGATAGTGATTTTATAAGAAAGTAAACAAGAACTGTTGCCAGGGTTCTAAGCAGGATATTATAGCAGCATTGATACTTACAGCTAGAGTGTCAACTTCCCTGAATAAAATTTTAAGAGAACTTTGAACACTGGCCTTGATAAGGAAGTCTGTAGTAAGTTATATTGCTGTCGATAGCTTCATGTCTGTGTTGTCCCTCTGCACTGATATCATTGAATGGTTTCTTGTGTTCAATATAAAGCCATATTTTTAAAGATCACTCAATTATTTGTCCTGCACAATGACCCCCACAGTTATGTCAGTTCCTTCTTCCCAGCTTTCTACTTCTACTTCTTAACATGCATTGCTGTCTTTCCATTCTTGTTGCAATTTCTTAGTTACACATTCTCCTCTACCCATTTCAGTCAGTTTTCCACTCTATAAACTCTGTTCTCTAAATGTCCACCACATCTGGCTTTATCACCACATTTTTTTGCTTTACTCAGTCCTGAAAGATTGCCAGGGGCGACCCCCATGGCCAAGTGGTTGATTTCTCATGCTCCACTTCGGCGGCCCAGGGTTTCTCTGGTTCAGATCCTGGGCACAGACATGGCGCTGCTCATCAGGCCATGCTGAGGCAGCATCCCACATAGCACAACCAGAAGGACCTACAGCTAGAATATACAAGTATGTAATGGGGGGTTTTGGGGAGAAGAAGGAGAAGAAAAAAGAAAAGAAGAAGAAGATTGGCAACAGATGTCAGCCCAGGTGCCAATCTTTAAAAAAAAAGAAAGAGGGCCATTGACTGTTCTGCCAGTTTTGACTCCACTGATCATCTCCTGCTTTGAACTATCTCCTTCTCAGCCTGTCCCCTTCTATCATTTCAGCATTAGCTGCCCTTCCTCCTTGCTCAGTGCTGTTCAATAATAAAATTCCTACTTTCTTCCACTGGCCCTGGTATCAGAGATTGGCTTGCTGCGTAACGGGTGAGCGAACTCACTCCAGGTTCAATATCAATCTTGTATTCTCCCCTGTTTTAAAATAACGGTATTATAGACAGAAGTGTCCCCTCAAAAATTCATATGTTCAAGTTCTAACCCCTAGTCCCTCAAAATGTAACCATATTTGGAGATAGGGTCTTTAAAGAGGTAATTAAATTAAAATGAGGGCATTAAGGTGGACTATAATCCAATATGGCTGGCGTTCTTATAAGAAGAGGAAATTTGAACACAGAGACATATAGAGGGAAGACAGTGTGAAGACACTAGGAGAAGATGGCCATCTAAAGCCAAGGAGAGAGGCCTAGAACAGCGACTTCACCCACAGCCTCAGAAGGAACCAACCTGCCAACACCTCCATCTTAGACTTCTAGCTTCTAGAACTGCGAGAAAATAGATCTCTGTTGTTTCAGCCACCTGATCTTTGGTACTTTGCTATAGCAGCCTTTAACAAACAAACACAAACGGCCTCTCAACAACTACAAATCTACCTCGGTCTCACAATCTCTTCTGAGACTTGGATCCGCATTCACAATGGCCTACTGAACATTTCCATCTGTTTGTTTTACAAGAAGCTTAAATAAACACATCAGAAATTAAATAATCACCTGCAGTAAACCTGCTACTCTTCTCTACTTCCCAGTGTGTCTCAATACACAACAACCTAAGCTTAAAATTTCAGAATTATTTGACATGTATAGTCTTAATTGTAATGCTAAAACTGCATGATTTTAATGTTAAACTCTTGCCATTTGCGACAACATGGGTAGAATATGAGGGCATTATGTTAAGCAAAATAAGTCAAACAGTGAAAGACAAATATCTTATGATCTTACTTATATGTGAAATCTAGAAAAAGAAAAAACCAAGCTCACAGATACAGAGAACAGATTGGTAGGTGCCACAGGCAGGAGATGGGAGGTGGGTGAAGGGGGTCAAAAGGTACAAACTCCCTGTTACAAAATAAATGTCATGGGCATGTAATGTACAACGTGGTGACTATAGTTAATAATACTGCATTGCATATTTGAAAGTGCTAAGAGAACAGATCTTAAAAGTTCTCATGACAAGAAAAAAGAAATTTTTTAACTACGTATGGGGATGGACATTAACGGCACTTATTTTGGTGATCATTTTGCAACATATATAAATATCAAATCCTGTATACCTGAAACTAATGTAAGGTTATATGTCAATTATATTTCAAGAAAGAAAGGAAAGAAGGAAGGAAGGAAGGAAAGAAGAGAGGAAAGAAAGAAAGAAAGAGAGAAAGAGAGAGAGAGAGAAAGGAAGGAAGGAAGGAAGGAAGGAAGGAAAGAAGAGAGGAAAGAAAGAAAGAAAGAGAGAAAGAGAGAGAGAGAGAGAGAAAGGAAGGAAGGAAGGAAGGAAGGAAGGGAGGGAGGGAGAGAGAGAGAGAGAAAGAAAGAAAGAAAAAGAAAGAAAAAGAAAGAAAGAAAGAAAGAAAGAAAGAAAGAAAGAAAGAAAGAAAGAAAGAAAGAAAGGAAAAGAAAGAAAGAAAGGGAAAGAGAAAGGGAAAGAAAGAAAAAGAGAAAGAAAAAGAAAAAGGCAGACTGGAAAAAAATAAAAAATTAAATCTGAAGAGATAAGAACTACAGAAATTCAAATGTTCTCAGGGCAATTTTATTTCATTCAGAGGAAGCAAATTAACGTGCTCCATTTTTTAATTGAGATATACATGAATAAATATATAAAACAAATGGGTAACTTAGGGAATTATTATATAACAAAACCCATCTAACCACCAACTAGGTCAAGAGATAGAATATTTTCCAGCATCCCAGAACCCCCCACCTG